GGACTGCCTAAAGAAGCTAGAGAAGCGAAAAATATTAAAAAAATTAGTAATCTATGTAGAGGTTGAGTTTTTATGTGTGTGTATAATGATAATTAAAAAAGGGACGTCTAGAAGAGTTTCATTGGACGTGTCTAAGGATTTTCTTTACTCAAACACAAGCCTGATGGATTATTTACTTAAAATAACAAAGATGTGGCCAACGATTTTGAGTGGTTGGGCTACAAATAATGAAATGAGTATGCAATATACACGTATGCCTTAAGTTACGTATTTGTTCTCACCTCCAAATGTGGGACCAATATTACAATGTAAAGTATACTATAATAGAAAGCCAACCCTTCTATATATATCATCCAATGAGTTACAAGCAACGACCTAAGGCAAAAATCATCTATATCTAGTTAGTAAAGATTCAACACTTGGCCAAATTATTGTCTTTTGTCACTTTATCTAACCATTAACGAATTCTTGTAATTAACTAGATGATTCTTCCGTATACACGCAGCTAAATTATTTATTAGTTTTATTTTTAAATTTAGTCTTTAAAAATATGAAATATGTAGTTGTTTGATTTTTATTATAGACATTGTTGTTGATTCTTTTGTTGTTAATTTTTTATTGGTCAATTAATATCATTTTTATTAATAATATGAATTTCAAAAATTTATTTTAACAATTTAATTATTTTATATATGTAAATGTGTCAAGTCAAAATGTATAATAATTTAATACATTAGAGTTAAAAAAATGTTAAATTTGNCTTGTCNNAATATCTTAAGTAGTATTTAGAATACAAATAAATTACTTAATATTTTAAAACATTAAAATATATAATCATAAATTTTATAAATGAAACACAAATTAAAAAAAAATTGCTGCTTTTGAATTAAAAATTGTTTTTATTACTTTCAAATTGTCTTACGTTAAAGAAAACATTTCAAAAGAATAATTATATTTGTTGTTATAAACTTGGAAAGTTATTTTATATATGTACACATGTCAAATAAAAAAGTATAATAATTTAATACATTAGATTTGAAAAAAAAAACATGTTAACTTTGGGTTATCTAAATACCTTAAGTAGAATTTAGAATACAAATAAATTATTTAATATTTTAAAACATTAAAATAAATAATCATAAATTTTATAAATAAAATGCGGATTAAAAAAAGAGATTGTTGCTTTCAAATTGTCTTGCGTAAAAAAATTCAAAGTCTCGTTTAAAATTTGGGAAATTTTTTTGTTATAAACTTGGAAAATTTTTTAATAGACATATCAAAGTCTCTTTTAAAAATTTGGTAAGATTGTTCTTGTGCAGATTTTAATAAAGATTTTCATACTTTTAAATTTAGAGTTGATGATAAATAAATTTCGGACCATAATAAGTCCATTATTAATTAGATATCGAAAAATGTTAATTTTTTTTTTTGAAAATTTTCAATATTTCCAATTATCAAAGATTTTCAGATTTGAAAATTAGAATTGATGATACATAAATTTCGGAGCAGCCAAATTTCACACTTTTAAATTTGTAGTTGCTCATACATTTTATTTCTGAGATACTCTTAAATTTCGGATAGGAAAATTTATGGAGATAACGATTTCCATAATCTTGTAAACGTCAGATTAATCTTGTGTAGATTTTACTAAAGATTGTTATACTTTTAACTTTGGAGTTGATGATACATAAATTTATATTTGGACAGAAACGAAATGTAATCGATTTATTTAATTGATCTTTTTGGTTGAACAAACTTTTTTGG